CCCCATCACAAGCCAGCAAAACATCCACGAAACAAAGAAAGGTCTGTCACAGCCAAAAAATACACTCCAGACACGCCGCTGGCACTAGAGGCAGATGGAAAACTCTACAGAGTGTCAGTTCACACCCCATCACAAGCCAGCATATATATATACATATACATATATATATATATATATGTATGTGAAACTCCGACGAAACAGTTTGCCACAGCCCCTCGTTTGTTGTCCTCTTCTCCCTCCCTGCCTACGGTTTACCGAGCAGCTCTGTTTGACTATATATACCACGACTTCGCTAGCACCCTGCTACGGCATTCTCCGGTCAGGTCGAGCGGCAGTGGTCGGGGCCGTCACTACGCGGCCATGCTGTGCCTCTAGTGCCAGCGGCGTGTCTGGAGTGTATTTTTTGGYTGTGACAGACCTTTCTTTGTTTCGTGGGTGTTTTGCTTGCTTGTGATGGGGTGTGAACCGACAGTCTGTACAGTTTTCCATCTGGTGTGGGTGAGTGATAGTCTGCTTTGACTTTTGCCACAGGTACCTTGAGGGCAGTGGTTGGTGCCCAGCTCAGCGTATCAGTTGTCGGGCAATCATTGATGCTTAACCACAGTCGGGGTTAAGGTGGATTATCACTTATAGTGTAATCAGTTAGGGGATTTTGTAGACTGTTGAGGGTTCAGCCTTCTGATGAGTCGGTGAGACTCTCACGAAACAGTTTGCCACAGCCCCTCGTTTGTTGTCCTCTTCTCCCTCTCTGCCCACGGTTTACCGGGCAGCTCTGTTTGACTATATATATATATATATATATATGTATATATATGTATATATATTTCTGGGCGTTTTTCTGGCCCGTCTGGTTTACCTGGGCGTCCCCCCTGGGCCTGCCCGGCCGGGTAGCGTCCTCACTCAGGCTTTGGGCCTTTTGGCTGCAAATTTGCAGCTTGCTTTTCCTTATGCTAATTCCGATTCTCCTCTAGAATCCCAACAAATATTTACAGCCTTCTGGACAGATTTCCCAATGTTTTGGCTGAACCACGTGGAGTTCGTGTGTCTGATCAAGTGCAAAATTGAACTGTTGGAAGGTCGTGTTTCTCCCAAAGGTTGTCCACCGCATGGGACCAGCCGAGTTGAAGGAGCTGCGAAAACAGATTGATGACATGATTGACCGGGGATGGATCAGATCTAGCGAGTCTGAATTTGGTGCACGTGTTCTTTTCGTTCCAAGGAAAGGTGGTAAACTGAACCGAGTTGGAGGAACTGCGAAAACAGATTGATGACATGATTGACAGGGGATGGATCAGACCTAGCAAGTCTGAATTTGGTGCACGTGTTTTTTTCGTTTCAAGGAAAGCTGGTAAACTCCAGATGTGTATTGACTATTATAAACTGAACCGAATCACAAGAAAGAACACCTATCCTTTGCCCCGTATTAACGAGTTGTAAGATGCTTCAAGTGGGTACAAGCCTACAAGGCCTTCTCGATGATCGATCTCAAATCTGGTTATCACCACATTGAAGTCAATTTGGCAGACCTGCACAAAACCGCGTTCAACACACTCAATGGGTTTTACTAATTCATCGTTATGCCTTTCGATCTCACGGATGCGCCGACCCCCACCATGTCTTCAAAAATCAGATTAACATATTTGTTGATGTGTACCTTGATAACATTCCGATTTTCAGTAAGAACATAGGTGAACATTTGCAACACTCCTTGGAGAAATCTGAGTTTGGGAGAGACAATGTCATCCGATTGTCGGTTGCAGGCCTTGAGCCTGAGGCAACCAAGGTCGAGGTCATTCGCAATTGGTCTTTCTTATCGGAAGTTTGTTCCTAAGGTTTTTTTTCATCGCTCACTCCTTGTCCCAATTAATGAGTAAGAACCTATTCTTGGAGTGATGCATGTGAGACTACCTTTTAAGCCTTGAGAGAGGCCTTGGTGAGTCATCTTGTGCTCTGCATTGCAGATCCCAAACGATCCTGGTCAATATAAATGTGAGCCACTACGCTGTAACAAAATGATGTTGATGGCTTACGTCTGCTTTAGAACTACAGCAAACGCAAGCCCAACAACAAGGTAGCTACTTCCACGTATATGTGTGAGCTTTATGCCTTGCGAGAGGCCTTAGAGCATTGGGAGCACTACCTCTTCCGACGCCACTTCAAGGTCTTCTCTGATCATGAGACGTTGCAGTGGATTGAATATAAACTAAATTATCTACTACGTTGTCCCGCTGGTTGCATGAGATTGACACCTATGGTTTTCAACTGAAATATAAGAACATTCGTTATAATCGGGTCGCTGATGCATCATCTCGCCACCCTGAGTATATGACTTGCCTTGTGAGCTCTTACGACCTTCGACGGAAACTGAAGGATCTGGACCACGGTTCCATCCTCGAGCACACTGTCAAGGATCTGGACTACGGTTCCATCCTCGAGCAGCTCAAGTCTAAACCCGGCGGTCAGCCCGATTACCTGTGTGAGGGTCTGTTATTTTGTCAGTATGGAAGCCTCGACAAATTGTGTGCTTCAAACCGTGCACCTCTCCGAACTCATGTCTTGGATTTGGTGCGCAGTCAGAGTAGACACTTCGGCTTCCAAAAAACCCTATGGAAGCTTGCTGCAGCAATTTTTCTGGTCTGATGTGAATGGATCTGCACATAATTTTGTGGATGAGTCGGTTTCTATTCACCTGCTCAAACCTCTCCTCATCCCCTTCGGTCTGGGTGAATCAGTTTCCATCAACTTCATGGACATGGGTGAGGTGAGTAAGAGAGGGAATTCTCCAAGTCATGGTGGCCATCGAGCGCTTTTCCAAATTTCTGAGTCCGATTCTCTTGCCACCTCATGTACCAACTAACTGGTAATTCTTGAGTTCGATGATAAGTACATTCTAAAATTTGGCCCCCCGAAAACTCTCGTGAGTGATCAGGACATCCAGTTCATCAGTTCAGATTGGAAGGACTTGACCATTCAACTCTACGTTATAAAGCTAAGCATGACATCTGGTCGTCACCCTGAAGCCAATGGATATGCTGAGGAGATCAACCAGGCTGTCACCCAACTTCTTTGTGCCCTCGTCGTTCCCGATGACAACACGTGGGATGAAGAGATGGATGCGGTGAAGGGGTATTAAAACAACTCCATTCACTCTGGTCCCACCGGAATGCCACCTAACAGGTCTGCACTACAAATGGCTGTTAAGTATCAGCGCTTGCTCAAGGTTGATATCGCAGCAATGAACAAGCGCCAGGATGCCATGGTCAAGTTTGCGACCTAAACCTGTGACATTTAAAAAGGAGACTACGTCTGGGTCAAAATGTCTGAGTTTTGATACAAAGAGGGAGAGTCCCGTAAGCTTCTTCCATTGCACTATGGTCCTTGGGAGATTCTGAAGTTGGTAGGGGATGATGCTTTCGGTCCATCATATGTGATTGACATGCCACCTCATCTACGCACGTACCTAGTTTTCCACGCGTTTAAACTGTATCCATACACGGCTGCAACTTCCTTTCCTCGTCTTGAGCCTATGATCCCTTCAGCAATTGACAACAGTCATGAAACTGATAGAATTGTGACACATACAGGTAAGGGGAAGGACGGACAGAATCACGTCCATTTTCTGTATCACCGATTGAACGAACTATATTGGATACCCCAGAAAGATCTACTCAAGAATGTGCCTCATGTAGTTAATGCCTACGAACGTCATACGGTTTCCAGACAAAAAAAAGTGTTCACTTGAAAACTCACTGCATACGAACATACAGCAGCACCCTTTGCAGTGATAGCTGGTGAGGCCTTTTGCAGGGACTCGGGCTGCGTTGCTCGCTCAAAGGGGCGTCGCTCTTGAGATAGGGTTGATGTCAAGAGCGGTGATGTGATGACCTGCAAAAAAAAAAATCACAGGCTGAGAACTCAGCTGTTTTCTGAGTATTGACGCTGGACTGACTGACTTGCTGAGATTCCCGCATTCTGTTGAGATTTCTAAGTCCGTGTGTGTGCATGCTTGCTGAGTTTCCGTGTGTTTGTCTGACTGCATGATTGTTTGGGTGTGTGTGTGACCCGCCAGGGTACTTGTGTGCTGGAAAGGCCCTCGGGCCTGGTACTTACCTGTGGTCATGCTTTCGTGGGGTTGCAGCAGGGACTTAGTGGTAGGCTAGACCCCTGTAGGATGAAAAACACTCAAGTAGCGGGTAGGCTAAGCCCGCGCAGGATGGAAAATACTCAAGTAGCGGGTAGGTAGGCACAAGAAGACAGAAAGGTTGTACCGTTAGAGGATGAAATCCGGTAGGCTTAGGTACCAGTCCAGTAGACGGAATCTGGGGCCTTCAGCGAAAGATTCCAGAGTGCAATGATGTTTCCCTCTGAAAGGAGGGAAGTACCGGTAGCTTGAGATGCCTAATGGCCTGGAAAGTCACGGCCCAAGGAGGCAGCGACCCGGTACATCTTCAGAAAGAGTGGTGAGCTCTTCTTCATTTTGCAGTGTGCAAGTTTGGCGTCACGCTGCTGGACCGAGCACTTGGTGTTCTAGGACTCGGAAAGAAGAAGGCAGGCCTGGCCCTCCACCTTGGCTTGGTGGAGAGGACCAAGGAGGAAGACTCCAGGAAGTAGTTGGAGGAGGAAGACGGTGAGCAAGGAGGAGAGCGACGGGGGTGCTTACCTGGCTATGGTGGTCTGCATCTTCATCTTCTTGGTCGGTGCTACACCTGGAAGACCCCATAGGGGGGTGGCTTCATCAAGGAAGACAGTGGGGTAGTATTGGGCATGTCGGCCATTGTAGGAGGAACACATGTCTTTGCGTTCTCCTTTGAACATCGGAGCGAGGCTCCACTAGTACGCCATTATCCATCCACTTAGCGAACTTGGAGGAAGGTGTGGAAGATGGCTATGGTGGACCTCGTGAGTTGCTGGCAGTAAGGAGGAGATTCGAATATTGGTTCTGTTCCATTCTTTCATTGTTATTATTATTATTGTTATTGAAAAGAAGAAGTTGGGGGAGTTCAAGGAGGTTGAGGAAGGTGGCGACTTGGAGAGGGATTTCACATTGGTCTTTGCTGGGGTACTTCTTCTTCTTCTTCTTCTTCTTCTTCTTCTTCTTCTTCTTCTTCTTCTCCTTCTTCTTCTTCTTCTTCCATTCTTATTTCTTCTTCTTCTTCTTCTTCTTCTTCTTCTTCTTCTTCTTCCTTTGTCTGTTTCTCTTTCCAAGCTCTTTCCCCAAGAAAAGTCCTTCGGCTGCTCTTGGATCACAGGAGAATGTCCTTTTTTTTCCTGGTGCGAGGAATCTCTCATAAAGCGTTTTATACTTTTGAGAACTTGTGAGTCTTGCCATATTTACAAAATTGTACAGAATCTTCTTTGGCCAAGAGAAGAGTGGCTAAGGGGAAGAGAGTGAAGAGTCTCAGAGAGATCTAATGGTAAGAGAGAGATCTTCTGAAGTGGTGAAGTATCTCCATCATAATGGACTGTAGAGTACTCTCCCAGGTCCAGATTGGAAATTCGCACACCAGCCTGACAGGGGCATAACACAATAAATTTGGCCCAAAAGGGCATTCCGCTCTACCCACATCTTTCAGGGGCATTTCGCATATATTTCAACTTATGGGCTACTGTGAGGAATATGTCCTCAGGGCCCCACTCTACCCACATCTTTCAGGGGCATTTACATATATTTCAACTTATGGGCTACTGTGAGGAATGTGTCCTCGGGGGCCTTTTAGACAACATGCATATGTTCTGACTGTGGCCCCAGCAAGCCTCGTGCCCGCCCTAAGTGAAGGCGGGCCTGAATATCAGCATTTTCCAATACGGGTCTCCGACAGTTGCTGTGGGACAGTAGGTTGAAGAGCAACCTGGGCCTTACACCGGGCTCTTCCAGAAGAAGCAACTGCGCAAGGCAGTTGAGCCCGGGGCCGGGTGGTTGTGCCCTGGGCACACACATTGACAGGCCGAGACTTCACGAAGTGGCCACGGGTCAACGAGAAAGCAGCATTGTCGTTGTATCTACCCCGTGGGCCAGTGCAAATGCAGCAAACATTCGAAGCCTGGAAAGTTCTGGGCGTGCCCAACTAAAAAGCGCCGAGGCCCGTACCTGTCAAAGTTGGCCTGGGCGCAGACACTGGGGCCCGACCGGAAGCTACTGGAAACTCCCACGCCCAGGCCCACACAGCCTAGCAGCAGCATCCTCTCCCATATATGGAGGAGGCTGGCCAGAACTGGACAGGCCCACACAGTCTGCAGCAGCATCCTCTCCCATATATGGAGGCGGCTGGCCAGAACTGGACATTCTGGCCTGTGCGGGCACTGCGGACACGCTGCTGCGCTAGCAAGCGAGTGTCTGCATGCGCTAGCTTGGGCTGGGGCGCGCGCGGGCGCTGAGGTGAGGGCGCTGCAGGACTGCGGGGCGCTAGCGGCCATAGCCAGGCTGCAGGGCGCGAGGCAGAGGAGGGCGACAGGGGGGTCTTCGGGAGGAGGCGCAGAAGTGGGCGACAGGGGAGTGATGAGGGGAGACGAGGATAAGTACCCGGAGTATGCGGGAGGTCGGCATTTGTGTTGACAACATGTACATTGGTCTTCGAAGTCGAAGGTAGCCTGTTGTATGAACGTAGATAGGCTAGGTAGGCAAGTAGAGTAGGCTGGGCGCTGGGCGCCAGACACAGAGGAGCGACATTGAATACTGCGTTGGTGTGGGCTGAGGGCTTGAACATTGGCTCACGAGTTCATTGTATTGCTCTTACTTGGATGGAATCTTGGTGCACTTGAGCTCTCTGCTTGTACATGACTATCTGGACTTTGCGTGATTTTGCAATTTGGTTTTCTGTATATCGCTGTCGCTCATATTCCTTGCACTACCGTCTTCACCCGAAAATAACGCCCAGGCATTATATTCAACTTCCCCTAAAAAGAGGAGATTTTCGTTTTTACTCACTTTTTTTCAAATAGAACGCCCCTTCGAATAGAACGCCCGGGCATTATACTTGAATGTTCCATGGGCACAGTTTTGTTTTTTGTACATTATCAGCCATAGGACCTCCTCCGTGCACGCACGGATTCGAACCGGCGCCCTCAGCCTCAAGAGCCAAATATCTTAACCACTACAGCCATGACACGGTGTACAAAAGTGGATCCATGTCGGTCGTGATATCCACCCCACCCCTGCCTTGAAGAGGTAGCATATATGGGTTTTGAAGAGAGTTGAATGGGGTTTTGACTTCCAAGGGGTATATTTTGGCTTGATTTTTTGTTTTTATTTTTTATTTCCAAGTTGATAAGGACTTCTGAAGTGACCATCAGCCAAAAGTTGGTCGCATTGCAATCCTGTACAACATATGTTTTTTACAGAATTTTTTTTTGATTTTTTGTTTTTTGGGATTTTGGGGCCTCACCAGCCGGGCCGCCCGGGTCATTTTGCAGATTATCCCCAATACTTATTAAGTTATTATTCTAATCAGATTAATTAACTAGTATCATTATTCATTTATCATGGGCGGTGGGGACGGTAAACAGGTTTGGATGCCCTCTACTCTACTGCTACTTTTGTTTTCTTCCCCCCTGCCCCCCCTTCCCCCCACCTCTCTCTCTCTCTCTCTCTCTCTCTCTCTCTCTCTCTCTCTCTCTCTCTCTCTCTCTCTCTCTCTCTCTCTTTTATATTAACGATTGAAAAGAAGACAAGACAGCCTACCATTCTGTCAAGTAGCTTCCCGTTGTGAAAAAGTAGAAGCGTCGGAAGAGCTTCTACACCATACCGGCTCGCCAATTGCGGATATTTTTCAGAATCGATCTTTACCTGGATCAGACGAATCACAGACAGCCACAGTACTTAATTAGGGGTGGGAAGGTTAGGAGGTAGGGAGGGGAGGGGTAGTGCAGGGGGAGGGAGGTAGCAGCACTGTTACACAGCAGACTTCACGTCATGCATTTGACCGGACTTACACCCAGATTCAGTGAATAAAACCTACACGTGGGGCAAATCTTGACCTGCGAGACATAAACGAGGAAGTACCGGCTGTGGGGGTCGGGGGGGGGGGGGGGGGGCAAACAAAACAGAAAGGAGAAAAAAGAAGGGTGCAGAATTTGTAAGGACTAGTAATATGGGCTTCCTCCAAAGGCGTTGCATTACTGTCTTCATCCAAATATAATGTACTGTCATTATCTCTGTTTCTATACTGAAATTTTCCCCAAATACAGCAATAACGGTCATAAGCTCTATTCGGGGGACGAAGGTACAATCACCCAGCACTCCACCGTCCCAGTGCCAGCCATTGACGTAAGTGCAGATCCACCTCAAACTTGTTCTGTAAAAATTCAAAAAAAGAAAAGAAAAAAAAGGAGTCGTCCATCATGCGCTTGGAGAGGACGACCATGTTGCTCACATCCCCTGTAAAGGGGTAAAAAAGAAAAAACAAGGTTATTTATTACTCAAGTTGGAAAGCCGTGTGATGTACGGCATCTTGCACAGTTTAGTGGGGCACTTCGTAGACTGAACGGGAGAACGCGCATCTGTTGCAGCGACACTTTGGGACTAGAACACAGGTCTGTATTTCAACAGTTCATCACTTTATACCTGCACCAACTGGTGCCGCGGAACTATTGACCCCACACTTAAGAAGTGACTTTCTTTGTTTGTTTGTTTTTTCCTTTAGGCAGTTTCTTTCAAAAAAAGGTTTCAATAAAATTGGATTGTTTGGATTTTCGTCCGACAAAAGCCTCTAGTGCGCCCCTGGAGGCTCGCCCGGCTCACCGGAGAGTTGGAAACAAATATAGGAGACACTGCATGGTATTGAAGATTTAGGGTTAGGTTTCATGAGGCTATATGGCTTCTATTTCCCAAAGACTGAGAAGGATTTTTTGGACTCAATTTGGCCATAATTACGGCCAGGTCCATGCATAACAGTCCTAGGTTCAGTGTGAATGCCCTTATTTGGCTTCCTTTCGCGAAGGAAAAGAAAACTTCGATTCCTGTCCAGTTCTCTTTTGCTTGCAAGTAGGCCCCCTTCTATTCTGGGTTATCAATCTGGTTGCCCCTATTTCTAACCGTGGAGTATATCCTATATACTCTTCACGCTAGGACTTTTTCAACTGAATTTGGCCATAATTATGGCCAGGCGATTCCATAAAGTCACAAAGTGAAGATACCTTATTTGCTCCAATACAACCAAACCGATCGAGATTCTTTGCCCTAAGATGTTAGAGCACCCAACAATTGGTTTTACTGCCGTACCCAAATCTTGTAATGAATGCTTCTGTGTGTGTTTTGATGCTATGTGTGTGTGTTGTCAAAGAACCCCAAACTCTCTCCTCATTCCATCCACAAATCATCACACAAACCATCCATAACCCATCCACAAACCATCCACAAACCATCCACAAACCATGCACAAGCCATCCGCAAACCATCCACAAACTATCCAGTAAGCAAGGAAGGTATAGATAAGCAATTTAATAGAAGATGCAAGGTTGGCCACGTTTGTGTGTGTGTGTGTGTGTGTGTGTGTGTGTGTGTGTGTGTGTGTGTGTGTGTGTGTGTGTGTG